ACAGAGTGATGAAGCAGAGGCGCGGCAATCATACTCGTTTGTTTTAATCGTACTGTATGAAGTGAGAGTGACGACGGTGAGGCAGAGGCGCGGCACTCGTTTTTGGGGAGTTTTTGTTTTTGTTTTGTTTTGTTTGTTTTTTTTTTTTTTCCAGGAGGGAGTGTGGGGAGGGGGGGGTTGTGGGGGGTGGTTGTCGTTGTTCAAAACAAGCATGAAGTGGTCGCTACTTGCTGGATTTTGGAATTACTAGGTTTGTGTCGCGCGATCTAACGCAAGGTGAACAAAGCCCAAACATCACCATGTAGCGTTTTAACAAACATGTACACCTCTCCGATACTATTTTTGAGCAGTGTCCTAAACCCTTACTACACAGCCCCCGCACTGGGGTGCAACCTCGAAGGCTGTATCGCCCCGTAAGAGCCGCTCCGCTGGGCCGACTATAGTGGCGACGCTGCATGAGCGTCCTCACTCTCACTTCACTTGAATCGTCACTTGGCGAAGGTCACTTACTATACTCATTGCCACTTGGCAAACACAGTGCAGGACATACAGGGACTCCATTCACGTGGCAACATGCCCCCCGCTATCGATGCGCACTAGCGGAGTCGCATGGAAGGGCGTGCCGAGCCTTGTGAGCAGGCCGCAGGCGGCAATGCTCACCGCACCGCATGCGGAACTTGCCAAGCGCTACCTGCTTCCTTACCTCTCTTTCCCCTCCTTCCCGAATTGAAGCATCAAGCGAGTTTGACGCAAGCGTCATCCTGAAGATAATTTTGATAACCTGGCGGAATTGCTGGTTTGACGTTAGGCCGGGTAGGGCGAAAAAATCACCAGGGTAAAAACGACCCAGGGAAGTGGGGGGGAAGGGGGGAGGGGGTGTTGGGGGGGGAGGAGGGGGAGTAGAAGAGGGTGGGCAGGGGGGATAAAAAGTCTGTCTGCATGACCCTTGCATGTGCCCACCCATGTGACCCCTCATGCCATTCGGCCCCCCATGTGCCCCCCATGCGCCATGTGGCCCCATGTGCCCCCCATGCCATGCGCGTGCGCCCCCCCTGTGTGGCCCCCGTGTGGCCCTCCATGTGGCCCCCGTGTGGCCCTCCATGTGGCCCCCGTGTGCCCCCCCATCACACACCCCCTCACGGATCCCCGTGCGTGCATGAGGCACCATGGGGCTGGCCAGTGTGGTGGTGGTGGGGGGGGGGGGACAGCACACAAGGATCCTCTGTGGCAGTGGCAGGGGCTGTTGTGGGGAGCATGCACCCCCTCAGGCTGTGCGCTGTGCACTTGCTTGCTGCAGCTGCTGCATGCGTCCCCCATGCCACCATCACCCCATGCCACCATCACCCCATGCCACCATCACCCCATGCCACCATCACCCCATGCCACCATCACCCCATGCCTCCATCACCCCATGCCACCATCACCCCATGCCACCATCACCCCATGCCACCATCACCCCATGCCTCCATCACGCCACCATCACCCCATGCCACCATCACCCCATGCCACCATCTCCCCATGCCACCATCACCCCATGCCACCATCTCCCCATGCCACCATCACCCCATGCCACCATCGCCCCATGCCACCATCTCCCCATGCCACCATCAACCCATGCCACCATCACCCCATGCCACCATCACCCCATGCCACCATCACCCCATGCCACCCCGTCCCCACCCACTCATCTCCGCTCCACCTCATTCCACTCCGCTCCGCCCATCCCAACCCACGCACACGTGCGTGCATGATGCATCAGGCGCTGGAGGGGCTGGCGGTGGTGTTTGGGGGGGTGCAGGAGGACCCATGGGTGGTGAACAGCAGCCTCACTCAGAGGAGCTTCGCTAACTACATCTTGCGCACGCAGCCCGCCCGCCCCTGGGTGCACTCCGTCGCCTACATTTGCCTTGTCAACGGCCCCGACAGGTATGTCCTCTTCTTGACTTGAGTCGACAGGTATGTCCTCTTCTTGACTTGAGTCGACAGGTATGTCCTCTTCTTGACTTGAGTCGACAGGTATGTCCTCTTCTTGACTTGAGTCGACAGGTATGTCCTCTTCTTGACTTGAGTCGACACGTGTGTCCTCTTTTTGTGTCGACAGGTATGTCTAAAAATTTTCAGGCCCCTTCGTCTCCACCCACCCACCCACCCCAAGTAGGGTTCACCCCCAATCCTTGTCTCTCCTGATGCAAAGTTTCCATCAAACTGGCACTGGCAGGAACAACATGCCAGCAGTTGAGGGAAGAAGAGCGGAGAGGGTAAGCTAAGGGAAAATTTGAGTCAGTATCCTGATATGAGGGGATCTGATACGTGAGGGCGTGAGGCGGAGCACACTCAGCCTGTCAATGTCCCACTGGACCTGGTGAGTTCTAATCGTGCTAGGGAATGGCCGAGTCTGCCTGGGAGAATCAGTTTTCCCATTACAGTGCCCGTCCTGAGCGTTCTTCTCAACTTAGCATGTGCCAATCCCTTTGTCCGTTTGCTCAACTTCACCCATCTCACATGCATGCGCAATACAAGGAGGGATGATGAACGCTCCTTGACCCTGTGTTCTCCCTCCCACAGTCGCCTCCCCTGCAACCCTGCATGGCAACCTTTAAGCTCCCCGTAGTCATGCTGACTGCCCATGAGCCTTCAAGTGACTTGCCCTCTCAAAAGCACCCCGCGCGTTGCCCCTCCTCTTGTCGCATCTCCTGGCATCCCCTGGCATCTCCTGGCATCCCCTGGCATCTCCTGGCATCTCCTCACATCTCCCCCAGGGCGACCTTTGAGCGGCGTGTGGGGTGCGTGCTGGTGGACACGTCGTACCAGCCATGCCCGCCCGCCGACTGGTACATGGACGTGCGCCTGTGGTTCGACGCCTTCCACCCCTTCAACCGCACCGAGTCCGCCACCTATTGCCTCGACAGCCGGCAGCATCCCACGTATGGGGCGCAGCTGAACCGCGTGAAGGAAACTCCCGAGAAGATGCTCGCGGAGCCCACCGTGCTCACCAATGGGCATCCAGGCATGGGTGAGCGGGCAGGGCTGTTAACTGGGCTCATCTCAAGCACTCTCACACACCTCTATCCCTTGTGCCCTCTTTCTCCCTTTTATTCCTCCTGGCCCCCCTCTCGTTCTTTTTTTGTGGGTTTTCTCTGTTTCAGTCTTCCCTCCTCCCCCCTTTCCCAATTCCCTTTTATTGCATTTGGTTTTATGCCTCTCCGTGTTGCCCATTGCCTCTCCGAGCCGAGTCCTCTAGGCATGATGCTCCCGATCTTCAAGGGCAACGTGACGGCAGCATCATCGTTGCAAGAGAGGCAGGCAGCACTCATGGGCGTGTTTGCAGCGATGGTGGATTTCACCCGTCTTGCCGACTTCATCAATCTCGAAGTGCTGCTGCAAGGTGCGCTGCAGCTGCCGTTCACTGGCGATAGCAAAGGTACTCCAGGCTCGTTGAGAGGGAGAAACATCTATTTCTGAGTAGCTGACCAACTGATCAGCCAACTTTTGCAGCTTTGTTGAGAGGTATTGGTACTGTCTCGGCAGATTGGCTGTTAGTGTTCGTTTCAGCTCAACTAAGTACTGAGGCGGCGTGAGAATCGTTACTCATGAGGTTCATAAGCCTTCATATTCCTTTTGTTGCTCCTGTCCATTCAGAGAGGGAGGGAATATTTTTCTGCACTTGTACGACGTCCAGTCCAGGGTGCCTGGTAGAGAGTGCTATAGGAGTGACTTTTGAGTCGACTTCACTTCTAAGAATTCTCAAAAGTGAGTTCAACAAAGTCACCTCAGGGCAATGTGTCCCTCGCCCTGCTGGTGCAGGCATGGAGTACTCTCTGGAGATGTATGACGTCACGGCCACGGATGTGCTCCCCGGCTCCTCCACCCCGCTGGGCCCGCGCCTGCTGTACGGGGCGGGCGACCTGCCTCAAGGCAACCCCATGCACGTCAACAAGCTCATTCCGCCGTCCAACGAGACCATGCTGCAGCCACACCGCCACAAGGCCGTGCACCACATCAACCTCACCGACTCATCAAGAACGTACCAGCTCTGGTGCCGGTCAGTTGCCTCGCAACCATGCACTGCACTGCCCTTCAACCGTGCACTGCCCTTCCTTCCAAACCTCTCCATTGTGTCAATTCATGTTTTTGACTGCTAGTCCGTTTTGTGACTTTTGTTGTGCTCCCCGCTTGACTCATAACAGTTCATCCTCCCACTCATAGCCCTCCCACTCACAGCCCTCCCACTCACACCCCTCCCACTCACACCCCTCCCACTCACAGCCCTCCCACTCACTCCCCTACCACTCACACCCCTCCCACTCCCACTCACACCCCTCCCACTCACTGCCCTCCCACTCACAACCCTCCCACTCACAACCCTCCCACTCACAACCCTCCCACTCACAACAACCCTCCCACTCACACCCCTCGCACTCACAACCCTCCCACTCACAACAACCCTCCCACTCACACCCCTCCCACTCACAACCCTCCCACTCACAACAACCCTCCCACTCACACCCCTCCCACTCACAACCCTCCCACTCACAACAACCCTCCCACTCACACCCCTCCCACTCACAACCCTCCCACTCACCAATTCATCACGGAGTTGCCAGCTCTGGCGCCCGCGAGTCGCTTCTTCAGATGCATTGCTCTTCCTCCTTGATCACTCCTCTATGCCCGCTTTCGGCATTCTCATGACTGACGAAAATGAATACATGAAGGGTTGTAAGTTCAACAGCTGCCCTCCCCACCCAGCCCATCGTACACACACACCCCATGCTTGGATTTCCCTGCAGCTCCCATCCCATTCTCATTTCTCGCCATCCTCCTCTGATTAAAGACCCTCATTACGATTCTGCTTCAATAACATTTCAGGCAACTTAAAGCCAGTCGTTGCCTGTGCTGCACTGCACTCAATGATTTCAACCGACATTCCCTTGTCCCCCGCTGGCCCCAATGTGCCGCGTGGGTGGGCTGCCAGCTTTCAGGGCTCGGACACAGCGCACAGCATGACGGCCATATTCCTGGGCCTCGTAATCCTCGTCGTGGCCGCGCTGCTGGCCGCCATTGGTGTGAGCGTGACGATCAACACGCGGAGGCTGCGCGAGAAGACAGCAATGCTGGCGGCGCTCAAGGAGCAGGCGGAGGTGGCGGAGCGCAACAAGAGTGTGTTTGTTGCCAACACCGCGCATGAGCTGCGCACGCCCATCAATGGCATGGAAGGTTCGTTTGTGCCCGTGAGGCGAGGCGCATGAGTGAGTGACCTGGGGAAGAGTTGCCTCACAAGTTATGAAACCTTTGTTTCTTCTCGACGTTGGCCGGGCACGCTGATCTGGTTGGGTGTAAGTAGGGTCTGCTAAAGGTCGAAACCATTTCAGCTGAAAGATCACAATGACTGTGCTGTGCTCATGATACTACAATATGTGAGCCTCCACGTTCTAATCTCTGCGAATCACCTCTCGCTGCGCCAACCGCCCTACAGGCATGCTCAAGCACCTGGACGAGAGGGGGCTGGACGAGGAGCAGAAGGAAGACGTGGGGGCAGTGGTGGAGCAGGCGGAGAAGATTCTGAGCCTTGTCAACACGGTGCTGGACGTGTGCAAGGCTGAGGCGGGCCGCCTGCACCTGGAGAGCCTGCCATTCGACCTGCGCTCGTGGCTGCGCGACGCGCTGCACTCACACGTGCACGCTGCTCAGGAGCAAGGCTTGAACTGTAATCACCCTCACTCACTGGCCCTTCTCTCACTCACCCGTGTCTTGATCACCTGTTTCTGCTTGCGCTTCTCTTCATGCTTTTGATTCATTCTTCTTTGAATTACTGCCCGGTTCTTCTGCGTGTGCATGTGGGGGCCCACCTATTCAGTCACATGGCATGTGGATGGTGATGTGCCCAGTGTGGTGGTGGGGGACTACCTTCGCCTGCAGCAAGTGGTGGACAGAATAGTTGGTGAGTGGATGACTCCAATTTTATCACTCTGAACTACATGTGGTTTAGGAGGTTGGATGGGCTTAGGGTTTAGGGTTGAGGATTTACACATGAGGATGAGGCGAGGTGAGTCAAGCGGTCCTACACTGGAGTGGAGTTGAGGCGAGTCGAATGTGGCCCTCACTCAACTCCACACGGCACTCCACAGTTTTCGGCGAGTCTGGTTTCGGACTCTCAACGATGCTGCAGGAAGTTCAAACACCTGAACACAAAACCTTAACAGCTCATTCTGGTTCAGTTCACAAACTTGTCAGTGTAACCTCAGTCACATGATAGCCATGAGCATAGGTCGAAGCCAAGCCTGCTTGCTTTGAGGCTCGACTTGCCAGCGGGCTGATGATTTGGTGGGCTGATGAGTTGGCGGGCTAACGAGCCGAGCCAGCAGCTGACCGCTCGAGTCTCGTGCATCGTAGGTGAGCCGGACGAGCACATTCCTCAACTCTGCTTCTTTTCTTCCCTTTGGTCTAGACGGCCTCTCGCATTTCTCGTCTGTGAGTTGACAAATTGGACTCGTTGTTTGCTTGTGTTGATGCTCCCCTCCCCCCAGACAACGCCGTCAAGTTCACGAGCAGCGGAGGCGTGTGCGTGCGGGTGCAGTGCCTCCCCCCCCACACCCACATCCCCGCCCACCTGCTCTCCCTCGGCTGCCTCGTCACTGAACCCACCCCCTGCTGCTCCTCGCCTGCCGCTGCTACCACTGCTGCAAAACCCGCTGCTGCTGCTACTGCTGCTGCTGCGAGTGCAGCTGGGCATCGGGTGGGAGCGGGAGAGCCGCTAATTAGGGCGTCGTTGTGGGAGCAGGTGGGGCAGCGAGGGCTGGCGAGGGTGGTGACGGGCGCATGCAGTGAGTGGGTGGTCCAGCGAGGCCTGGCTGCGCAGTGCCTGGAGTGCTACTGGCGCATGCCCCCGGTTCAGGAGGGGGGGCCGGAGCAGGAGGAGAGCGAGGAGAAGGGGGGGCGTGAGGAGAGGGAGGAGGGGGAGGAGAGGGTAAGCGTTCGGGAACAAAGTGATGCGTACCAAGAAAGCGGGGGAGATGGGGGAGGCGAGAGGCCTGGGGGAGCCCAAGTGGGCGATGCGGGGTGTAGAGAGACAGGCGCAGCGTTGATCCCTCTGCGACCACGTGCTGCTGTGCACGGAGCAGCGAGTGCTGGTGAGGATGCTGGGAGTGCAGCAGGGAGCACAGCTCCAGGGGATGGTGCTGTGGGCTCGTGGAGGAGAGCTGTGGGGCGGTGTTGGCGCGCACGGGGCAGGGAGCAAGGCACGGAGGCAGAGGGGGGAGGTGACAGGCGGTGTGTGGTGGTGCTGACGTGTGAGGACACAGGGTGTGGCATTGCAGAGGAGGTGCAGCGCCACGTGTTTCAGGCGTTCATGCAGGTGAGCCCTGCCCCTCATGCAGGTGAGCCCTGCCCCTCATGCAGGTGAGCCCTGCCCCTCATGCAGGTGAGCCCTGCCCCTCATGCAGGTGAGCCCTGCCCCTCATGCAGGTGAGCCCTACCCCATGCATGCCGCATCATGCCATGTACCATGCAGACCAACCGTGCGATCGAATCAAAGATTTGGTGGAAAACCAACAACTACCATTCAAGCAGAAGCACTAAAGAGGCACACAGTCATCAGCTTAATACTACCGCCGTCCATGCACGTGCTAGTTTCTCAACCAACTGACCACTGGGCTCTGTTGCTTCTCCCACCACCCACCCATCAGACCCGTGCGCACGGAGGCAGCGGCATGAGCCTGCACTTGTGTCGGCAGCTGGTGAGTCATTCTTGACACTTGCCAGGTCCTACTGATAGTTGTCATGTCTTTTTCACACCTTAACCAGGTACTTTTTTTGGACCTTCAAGATTTTCCCGTTGTCCTTGCATGCACGCTCTTCAAATGTAACTCCTGGAGTGATATTTAAATTCCCGCTATGTGACAGGGCTGCCACAGTCACATTCGTTACACTCGAATTCTGTTGCGCCTCCATGTTTGGACCTCCTCCCCATGGCAGGTGGCGCTCATGGGAGGCAGGATTGGGCTGCTCAGCACAGAAAGTCACGGCACCACCCTGCATGTCACTCTGCCCATGGCCGTTGCTGCTGCCACTGCTGCTGCACCTGTGGGTGGTAACCCGGGTTTAGCCAGCGCCAACACCTCTGGGCCGCAGGCTACCTGTGCTGCTTCCTCCTCTTCTGGCGACGAAGCAGCTGTCCCAAGGGCAGTGGAGACGAAGAGTGCGAGTGAGAGTCTGAAGGAGTTGCTGCAGGGCAAGGCGATTCTGGTGAGATGCAGGACAGGGTGTTTAGACTGGAAAGAATTTTGTGTGTTTGTGGCAGCTGCTTAACACCGATTCCCTCCATACATTCATGCAACCAATGTTGTCGCACCTCTTACAAAGCCTCTGTTCTCATTCCTTGGACACATGACTGAAGGCAAGACTGGTGGTCCTAACTTGCTCTTCATTCCCAACCACCCGTGTGTGTGGCAACCCCCCCTCTCTCCACCCCGGTGGTGGACGTCAAAGTGAGAAGCGCATGCTCACTCCGACTCCGTCTCCAATCTGCCCTGCTCTCGTCCCCTCTCCACCCCTCCTCTATCCCCTGTGCGCACCCCCCCCTCTATCTCCTGTGCGCACCTCCCCCTCTATCCCCTGTGCGCACCTCCCCCCTGTACCCCCTTGAACACCCCCCCTGCACCCCCTTGAACACCCCCCCTGCACCCCCCACCCCGGTACCTGCTGTGCTGCCAGGTGGTGGACGACAACGCCATCAACCGGCGGGTGGCAGCCAGCACGCTGGCGCGGTACGGGGCGCAGGTGGCGCTGGCAGAGTCGGGCGACGCCGCGCTGCGCCTGCTGCAGGCGCCCCACTCCTTCCGCCTCGTGCTCATGGACCTCCAGATGCCCGGCCTCGACGGTTTCCACACCACCGCCCGCCTGCGCGCCCTCGAGGCCCAAGCCAACACAGCCCATGAGGGTTTGCAGGGAGGGCAGGAGGCTAAGGAGGAGCAGGGGGGGCAGGGGAGTCAAGGCGTGCAGTGCATGGCAGAGGTGGGGAAGAGGGGGACGGAGGGCGGGTCGGGGGGCTGGCAGGGGCAGCAGCACATCCATGTGGTGGCCATGTCAGCAGATGTGGACAGCACTGTTGCCGCCCGTGCCACACAGGCTGGCATGGATGGTGCTGTGCAGAAGCCACTCAACGAGAGGCTGCTGCTGCAGGTGCTTTCAACACTAAATGGTTTGTAACACATTCACAATTTTACCGAATGGCCCTGGATGAACACTGTCAGAATAATTGTTGTTTAATTGCATAGCTAGTTTAGTATAAGACCCCCCCCAGTTGCAGACTCCCAGGTCAATAATACGGAGGGGGCTACGCTAAATAGGTCGTTTGTAGTTATACCCCCCTAAATGGGGGCTAACATGATAAGATCCCCCTCCCCCTAGAGAATTTGTCATTTTACAGGCAAGGAATGAAATTCTGATGATTTTTCTGTTGGGCTGAGGTGCCCTAGGATCTTTGTAGAATTAGAGTTTGAGTAGGATGATGTAATAGCGGAAGCGTTAAATAAGAAAGCTTTGAACCACCTTGCGCTGGTATGTGAGGGCAAAGTAAGTTGATTAAAGCAGGCATATACAAAGCTTTATATAAGAGTACAAGGAATACGAATAGATGTAATTAAACTACCTTGCTGTTGCGATTCGATACAGTGCGACTCGGGCAACTGCTCAATGTCGAGTCAGTTGTGTGTCCTTGCTGTCGCGCTGTATTGGTCAAGTCAAAGGTCGCTGACCTTTGACCTTCCCGTAACCTTCAGGCGGTTACCCTCACCTCCGAGGGTTGACTCGCGATGCTTCGATTTGGACTTCTTCGCTTTGTGTCCTGAGTTTCGACACGACAGAGGCGTTTAAGACTTATTGTTCCCAACACTCCCCTTCGCTTCTGGAGTGTCGCTGATGGTGACGTGGCCTTGTCCAGTCAGCAGCATGCAGTACTCGAACTTCTGTTTTCCGAGCTTTTTGGTCAAGTAGTCGGCTGCCATCCCGGACGTGGGACAGTAGGATAGTTCGAGTTTTCCTTTCTCGATCTCGTCTTTCACGAAGAAGTATCGCAGAGCGATATGCTTCGTTCTGTTCGCGAATCCGCTTTTGTTGGCGATGCGAATTGCAGATTGGTTGTCGCAGAACAGGGTGAAGTTGGATAGCTCAGCTACCTTTGCTTCTTCCAGTAGTTCGCGAAGGTAGAGTCCTTCCTTGGTGGCTGAGCAGAGGGCGATGTATTCTGCTTCAGCTGAAGAGAGAGCGATTAGTTCCTGCTTACTCGACTGCCAGGAGATAGGTCCGATTGGCTCTAGACGATAGACGTAGCCAGTGCGAGAGCGCCTGTTATCTGAACCGCCGGCATGGTCGGCATCGACGTAGCCGATTAGTTTCGTTGACGTAGCTTCGCTCTTGTAGTAAGTCAGGCCGATCGTCGGCGTGCTCACGAAATAGTGCAGTGCGCGATCGAGCTCCGCCAGGTGCTCTGCTTCGGGTTTCTTGAGGTAGGTAGCGAGTTGGCTTGCGGAGTAGGATAGATCCGGGCGACAGGTGACGGCTGCGAAGAGGAGGCAACCCAGTTTCCTCTAGTAGTCTCGTATTCCGGCAGCTTTGAGTGGAGCGGAATTTCCTTTGTCATCTCCTGCCGTGTAGCGGTATGGCGTGGCGATAGCGGTAGGTGTGAGCGAAAAACGCTTGGCTATCGTGTCGGCGTATTTTTCGGCGCTTAGATAGATCGCATTTTCTTCTTCGCGGATGTTGAGCCCGAGGTACTGCGTGACGGTAGAAGAGACCGTGAGCGTGAGGTCCTTCTGCAGCTCCCCTTCGAACCAGGTGGTGACGTCGTCGGTGGAGCCGATGTAGAGCAAGTCGTCGACATAGACTATCAGCAGGATGTAGTCTGCGTCTTTGGTGAGTCGGTGCATCCCTTGGTCGTGAGGTAGTTGACGAAATCCGATGCGAGTAAGGCGGGTGTGTAGGTGCTGTTGCCACAGCCGCGGTGCTTGTTTGATTCCGTAGAGAGATTTCAGTAGCTGATAGACCTGATTGGGGTTTCTGTGGGTACCGTGTGGGAGTTCGACGAAGATTTCGGCGTCGACGGGTGCGTAGAGGAATGCATTGGCGACATCAATTTGTCGCAGCTTCTTCTTCTTCATGGCGGCGACGGCGAGAAGGATTCGGAGAGAGGTATGTCGACTGACTGGGCGAATGTCTCGGTGAAGTCTCGTCCTTGCTCCTGATCGAATCCTCGCACGACCCAGCGTGCTTTGAACTTCTCGATCGTGCCGTCTGCTTTCGTTTTGATGCGGAAGACCCATTTCTCGGTGAGAATAGTCTTGTTCCTTGCCACGCTTGCGGGAACGACCTTCCAGGTGTTGCGTTCCTCCAATGCCTTTAGTTCTCTGTCCATGGCTTCACGCCATTTCTCCCTGTGTTCCCCCCCCAGAGCCTGCTGAACCGTCGCAGGCTCCTTAGGAAGCGCGTTGCCGTGCACTGCGGTGACGAGGCCGAGGATTTGCAGCCCAGTCTGTGAGTATCGGGGGAGTGTTGGATCCTCGGGATAAGTTGCTTCGTCTCCCGCTTCTGGATCGGGTATGAAATTTGGCCCTATCCGTTCTGCTTCATTTGTGTTGACTGTCGCAGGTGTTACGTAACCGTTGTCGGCGAAGTGATAGAAGACTTCGGCGTTGGCACTGTCGCGAGGATTTTCTTCGTCCATGGGCACGTTGACGGAGCAGTACGGGAGAGGTCCGGCTTCTTCCGATGCGTTGTCGACGTTCTGTTCATCCCAGTTTGCTTCGTCCGCTGCTGAGGTGAAGGCTCGGTCACCACGAAAGCCACCTGTGGGGTTTTGATTCTCGTGCAGGTTGGCGAGGTACGTTTGAAGGGTGAGTCGCTCGTAGAAGATCACATCACGTGCTGCTACTGTTTCCTTTGAGTGGACATCGAAGATTTTCCACGCGTTGTAGTTTTTCTCGATGCCGAGGTGTAGTCCCCACTGTGCCCGTTGTGAAAATCTTCCCGCTCGTGCTTCTGGGGGTCGGTACTGTACCATGCACCCGAAAACTCGTAACATTTTTGTGCTGCCCTGCTTCCCTGTCCACAGCAGGTGCGGTGATGCGTTGTTCGGGAGTGACGACGACGACAGCAAGTTGTGCAGCATGACAGCATGGTCCATTGCTGCAGGCCACTGGTGGTTGGGTAGCCGCATGCCACGTAGCAGTTTGCGCATGCTGTTCTGCAGAGTCCTGTTCATTCTTTCTGCGACACCTTGCTGCTGATGTGCGTAGGGAAGGGAGAGGAGTTGCTTGATTCCCCTTTCCGCCAGGTACTGCTTGAAGCGCTGAGAGGTGTACTCTCCTCCTCCGTCTGACTGAAAGCTTTTCAGTTGTGTTCCTGATTCCCTCTCTGCTACCGGTAGCCAAGCGGCGAACGCTGCGAGAGCCATGTCGCGGCTGGGTAGGTTTCGATGCCAGACGTATCGAGTGGCGGCGTCGATGAAGGTTATCGTGTAATTGTAGGTGACTTGTCCTGGTTCTCGATTGAAGAGGATGTCGCTGTATACTTTCTCGAGTGGTGCGTATGTAGGTGCGCTTGGGTTGTGGTGAGAAGAAAACGGTCGATGGGGTAAGTCGGCTTCGGGGCAGATAAGGCAAGTTCCTCGTGCACGTTGGAGTTCTCTGCGGTCAGGTAGTAGTAGCGAGTCCTTGTCTAGAACTCCTGCTCGAATTGTGTTATTTAACACTGTGTTGCTAGGATGTCCTGTGCGTGCGTGCCAGATGTCTTCAGGAGCGCGGTGTCCGGGTGAGCGTTGATACGCGTCGGAGTTGGAGTAGAAGCTGGCGACGAAGTGTGCGCTTCTGTGGACTTCTCGTTGAGTCGGGTTCAGCTGCTGTGCGGGTGTTGGTGGTGCTTTGTCGACGGGGATTGGTGTCGTTGGTCCTGCTGCTGCCGATGATGTTGCTGCTGCTGATGTTGTTTCTGCTGCTGCCGATGTTGTCTCTGCTGCTGCCGATGTTATTGCTGCTGCTGATGTTGTTTCTGCTGCTGCCGATTGTTGAATCGTTGCTAATGCGTGTGTTCGTTCTGCTTCAGGTATGGTGTGCGAGTACCAGAAGCCTCCCGGGCTGAAGTCGGGATCGAGATCCAGGGGATGTGTCCAATCGGCGAAGTTGACGATGGCGTCGCTATCTGCAGTGCCCAGGTCGGGGACGAAATCGAGGATGAAGACGTTGTTCTTCAACACCGCCCTTCCGATGTAGAGGCCGCCCTTCCCGTGGTACAACTTGAACTCCTGTGTAGTGCTGTCGGCTTCCAAGTGAATACCTTTCGCCATCAACTGGCTGACACTCAGTAAGTTATAGCCGAGTCCCTCCGCGATGAGTACCTTTGACATGTGTAATATGACATTTGTCTCTCGTGACTGAAGCTGTACCACTCCTTGTCGTCGTGTGCGCAGGTTCTGATTGTTGGCGACCGTGATGACTACTTCTCGCTGGAGTCGATGCTCGCGTTGAACGAAGCGCCCGGAGGAGCACATATGTTGTCCGCAGCAACTGTCCAAGAACCAGGTGTCTTGGCCGGACGGTTCGCTTTGAGCAATGGCGGCGTATGTCGGATTCGGTTGGAGTGACTCGCGGCGAGGCGTCCTGTTATCGAGCTCTTCTTCCGGTGAGTAGTGGGGTGGTGATTCTGTTGTGCAGGAATCGGTTATCTTTACCATGCAATTGACAATATTTCTTGCTCCTTGTGCAGGTTGTCCAGTTGAAGTCGTTGAAGCTTGGATTGTGGTCGTCGGATTTGCTTGCGTTGAAGCAACTTGGGAACTTGAAGGCCGGAGTTGTCACTGTGGTGTCGTCGACTGCTGACGGGACGGGCAGTGTGTGCGAGGATGACCCGAGGTCTTGCAGATGTGACAAAACGGAGGTACCGTCTTCTTTTGTTGCTGTTGTCGATTGTTGTTGCCGTTGTATCGTCGCTGAGTGTGAAACGCAAACTCCGGTGCTAATGTTTTCTTCTTGTGTCTTTCTTCTTGCAGGTCCATGTCCTGCTGCTCGGCGTGGATTTCGGCGCAGAGTGCCGCTTCGGAGATCCTCCCGTGTGCTCGTAATATGGCGCGAGTGGAGCGCCAGTGGGGGCCGAGACCGCCGATGACCACCATGACAAAGGCGTCTTCTGAAATTGACCCTCCGCATCGAAGAAGCTTG